GTGTGTTTTATAGAAAGAATATATATTTACTGTAATTTTAAAAAAAAACCTTCAGTGTTCGTAATAATAACCCTTGTTGACTTCTGATAATCTATTAAAAATTATTAAAAATTTATTAAAAATTAGTCGGACGGAATCGAAAAAAATAAATTTTATCGAACTAAGCCAAAATAAAATAATATGTTAATAACTATGTTATTAATAAGTATTTTAAATATATGAATATAATGTTATTGCATATATGAATTTTACATATGTTAGTAATATGTACTATTTTAAGACATTTTTTATGTTTATACGTTCTTTTTATAGATACAAATATTTAAGTAAATGCTCTGTTTATAATAAACAGTATTAACGACATTTACCAGCCTGAATGTCCGATATATATATATATATATATATATAATATCATTCGCATAGAGCCCTGCTTCGCTGTATCACAGCTCATCAGTGCGACTAGATATCCGAATGCTTCAAGCCAGGATCGAAACCCAACCGATTTGATATCGGAGTTTCTAAGCCATCAGCGTTTCGGTAGAGAGAAAGGCGAATCTAGCGTATTGTTTCTGCGAATGTAAACACACGCCAAACAGGCAGAGTGCTCCATTCATTAATTAGGAGCGTTGCGTTAGCGCTGACAGCTGCTGTTTAAAGAATCCGCCTATCACTCAACAGTGCTCAACCGAAAGATTTTCGAGGGCGTTATAATGTCATTCGCGTACAGGCCTGTTTCGCTGTACAGTAAAATAATAAAAACCTAGCTGCCAACTTAGTTAGGTTAGGAAAATATTTAGAGAAAATACACAGTAGGGAAGTGATTGAAGTCGAGATGCCAGAACAGGATAGATAAAATTGCAGATTCTTTGGATTTTGTTTACAGCCTTAAGATACATCGGCGAAGCACCAGGCTAGATGTGGCAATGATATTCAATGCATGGATAAATGATGGATTTGTTATGGTTCAATACAAATTCGATTGAAAATTTGTCTCGCACGATACAGTGTAGCAACGTTCTTTTCAGTATATTCGATATAACCGTCCCATTCCATATTAGCATTAAACGTTAGGCCGAAAAGTCGTATTGAGCTACTCTGCTGGAGGTTAGCATTAGCCATGCTAATGGAGGGCAAAAAAGAACGGTTTCCTTACGTGATTAAAAGAGTGATGCTTAGTTCTAGAGGCGTTTAAATTAGCATGCTATTTCTTGCCCCTGTTAATAATTTTACAATTGATGGTGTCTCTTTTGGCAAAGAGATTTAGGTTAGGATTCAGATGATATCCATTAGCGATAGTTCTGAAAATCTGTGATCAACTTTTTTCTATGTATCGTGCCCCGTCAGGATATAGACGATCATGGGTCTCCACAACTTCCTATCTTTGTAGCTCCTAATAAATTTTGTCTTTTCGTTATTTCTCCCAAACCATTTTGCGTTATCAATTTACTTAAACTCATCAAGTACGTCATGCGCTGATTTCCCGTGTTCCTCTTGCCTTCAATCTGTCCTGTGAGTATCAGATTTTCCAAGCCCTCATTCCTCATTAAATTAGTAGAATTCTAGAATATAGTATAATATCTTTAGTGACTCTTTGTTGATTTTGATTACGCAGAACTGGGTTGGGTGTGAAAAAGTATTTGTTGTTAACATTCTTTTTCATTCGGTTTTACCAGTTACGAATCCTTTTTTAAAGCTGATCGTTTTGTTAATTTCATTTGTTTAATTCTTTTCGTAACAGATTTAATGTTTAGTATAGAGCTTAGAAAAAAATTCGCAGTGTGAGATAGGCAAGAAGTAAGGCATGTAGCAACATCAGCACGGCAAAGGGCACTCCTTTAAAAGGCAAGGAAGGGCAAACAGAATTTAAGTCAAGTGATAGCGATTGCTGTATGAGTCGTACGATTTTTTGAATCAAACACGGGCATCACCGGGCCATGCTTCTAGTATATATATATATATATATATATATATATATATATATATATGTGTGTGTGTGTGTGTGTGTGTGTGTGTGTGTGTGTGTGTGTGTTGAAACTTGACTAATGCATGGAATAATAATGCAACACAAAATGTACTTAGAACAAAATGTATTGAAACAAGAAAGTGTACACAATATTTACATATAGTCTTTTGTATATTCCTGGTAAGACCGTTCTTGGAGAATGTGTTGACTGAGTCGCAGTCGGACAGAGTCTCTGGTTGAATCTCTTGATTCCTCCCTCTCTTCCCGGTACCAACCATATTTATATGGTCGGTACTCCACTATGCAAATTAGGTGGATCCTACCACAACAATATATATATATGCTGATTTTTTTAGTAAAAAGTTAATCATTGAAAACAAGTAAATAGATATGTTAATAAATATTTTAATCAAATTGATCAGTCAAATAATAATGAAGAGCCATAAATTGAATGGAAAGGTTATCCATTATTGGCAGAAAAACATGAGACAGTTGAACTCTTTTGATTGATTTTTGTTTTGCAGTATATCAACATGTATGGGTTATTTAATACCTAAATCTAAATATTTTGTACAAAATCTTATTTCTTTTGAGATAATAATTGTTTTATTGATACAAGTCTTATTCTGTGCCCCAGAAATTATAACTGTCTCATCCTGATGTTAAGTATAAGTTTCCTTTTTGTTTCCATTTTCTCTAAAACCTCGTCATTGGTCACGTGTTCGCTGTATAGTATCCTCAGCATAATTCTGTTGCTTCAATTTTCTTCACCTTTGAAGAGATTGTACAGCATTCACTCCCATATAACAGGATAGATATTACGTAACAGTTCCGTTCTCTTTTCTTTGTGTCCAACGAAGCTTTTTCTGTTCCTTCATACTCTGCTTAGAGTTTGGAATGTATTTTTTGGCGATTCCAATGCGTCAACGGATTCTAGTGTCTCCCTTTCCATCATCTGTTATCACTCCCAAGAATTATCATGGAGAACTCTGTGAGAGCTAGCTTAAAAACAACCGGGTCGGTAAAAAGCAAAGATGGTGGCAACAAAGAGAAGCAGGATGGGGAACTTGGAGCAGATTGAAAATAAGGGTCTTTCTCTGCCGCAATCTTCATACATGAAAGCCATCATAATCGAAACCTGTTTAAACCGGCGGTGAAACATTCTGCCTACACTTTTCAATTCGTTCTACAATCATTTATTTGACTCAGATGTTTGTTTATTCCGTCTAATACTCCTTGTTACTGCAGTTTTCGTTACGAAAAAAGAGGGGGGGAGACTCTGAAGCAGCAGTGTGTGTCGTTTCGGAGAGGGTCGGTCGGAGGAAAAACAGGCGATTATACCATCGTCGTCATCATCATCACTAATGTCTACAACATCTCCATCTTCAGCAGCACGGTCATCATCAAACAGTGGCGGACAGAGCCGCGCGTGTCGCTTTAGAGCTAATGAATCTTTAGAAGGGGCGTCGACGCTTTGTTCTATTGTGTCAGCCATTATTAATGGCTTCTGACGCCTTTGTGCTCGCTGCTGCCGGCCGCCATCCACCCTATACTGTCCGCTTTTCAGCATCTGGAAACAGCAGTGTGAATTAGAGAGAGAAAGACGGAAAACAGAAAAAGAGAAAGACTCGTAGCGAAAGAGACAGACAGGAAAACAGAGACAGACAGAGAGAGAGAGACGATTTAGTTTTCTTTTAGGTTTTATTTGTGGCGGGAGTTGCTTTTTTAGCGATCGCTACATTGTAAATAAGGATTACAGAGATCGATCCTTATTTGTGTCTATGAGTAATTGCTTATATCTATGTGAGATTATGACATGCGTTTGAATGAGCTATATATATATATATATATATATATATATATATATATAGGGAGAGAGAGAGAAAGAGAGAACTACAGACAAGTATATAGAGACAAAGAAATAAAGGGGAAATAGAGAAATAAATAAGAAAGAAAGAAAGAAACAAAGAAACAAAGAAACAAAGAGAGAGAGAGAGAAGAACGAACATGCAGAGAGAGGTACAGTTATATATAGAGAGAAATAGAGAAATAGTCATGTAGAGAATTACAGACATACAGAGAGAGAAAGAGGGAAAGAGAGTAAGAGAGGAGAGGAAGTGACATAGACATAGAGAGAAGTGCAGAAATGTAGAGAGAGGGAAAGAGAGCGTAGGAGAAACAGAGATATGTGATGACATACAGAGTGATCTACAGACATAGAAAGAGACAGAGAAAGAGAGGTAGCAAGAGGAAAAGAAAGAAAGAAAGAAAGAAAGAAAGAAAAAAAGAAAAAAAGAAAGTGAGAGAAAGGAACGTCCAGTGATGTAAAGATAGATCGAGGGAAAGGGGAAGAAAGAGTGGTACAGATGGAGATAGATAGATAGATAGATAGATAGATAGATAGATAGATAGATAGATACCTGACTGAGATAGATAGATAGATAGATAGATAGATAGATAGATAGATGAAATGGGAAGAAAGAGAGAGTGAGATAGAGAGATAAGTAGAAATCTGAAAGAAATTGAGAGATTGAAAGAAAAAAAAATGCAAATTTAAAAGAAAGAAAGATAGATAAATATATAGATAGAAAGAGAGAGTAGAATAGACTTATAAAGATAGGTGAAGAGACTGAGATAGATAGATAGATAGATAGATAGATAGATAGATAGATAGATAAAGACAATCAGATAGATAAGATAAGAGAATGAGATAGATAGATAGATAGATAGATAGATAGATAGATAGATAAAAGAATCAGATAGATAGATAGATAGATAGATAAAGACAATCAGATAGATAAGATAAGAGAATGAGATAGATAGATAGATAGATAGATAGATAGATAAAAGAATCAGATAGATAGATAGATAGATAGATAGATAGATAGATAGATAGAGAGATAGATCCCGTGGATACCCCATTTCATTTGTGGGCCTAAATAAGATATAGGTGACAAGTGATCATGGTAACCTATCCATGTACTCACTTGCAGACGCAGACACATGAGCGCATATACACGTGAGTGCGCGTAGAAACATGTGTCGCATGGACACAAATTTGTCTGTGTGTATAAAATATGTGTTACGTCTGTCTGCACGTATTTGCGGAGGCGGGCGTTTAGGACGACACTTCGGTCACGTGTCTGGTCGGTCAGAGACAAGCGCGCAGTTAACCATCATAAAGAGTTCGTCGCCCGACTCCCCAGAGCGGAAGTCGCTGGACATGTTCATTTTTTTATTTTTTATTAGTAGTCGTATTGTTGTTGCTGTTGTTTTATGTCACGTTCTTATTTCTAAACAGTCCATATCTATCTATCTATCTATCTATCTATCTATCTATCTATCTATCTATCTATCTCATCCCATTCATATCTATCTATCTATCTATCTATCTATCTATCTATCTATCCCATCCCATTCCCTTGATTATCTATCTATCTATCTATCTATCTATCTATCTATCTATCTCATTCTCCTATCTGTCTATCATATTCTCTTTATTATCTATCTCATTCTCTTGAATATCTATCTATCTATCTATCTATCCAACTTTCTCATTCTCTTAATTATCTATCTACCTCTGATTCTGCTTTTCTATCTATCATTATACACACGCACACACACATACACACACACACGCACAAACATTAAAGATGACCAGAAAGAAAAGACAGTAATCAGGAGGATAATAGATAGCGATTGACATTGCATTAACATTTTTGCAGATTAAAGCTGGCTGGAAAGCACTGAGCCGGGAGTGAGTTTCACAAATGAAAAAAATGCGGAAGAAAAAACTTAACCTAGAATTTACGGCTTCGTCTACCCAGCTCAACTCGCTTAAATTCAAAAACTCTACCATAGCGAAGAGTTCATTCGAACAATTACCATGTAAGTATTAATAGAAAATACATAGAGGGACAACTTTATGATGGTGGGAAAGGGAATTCACCTGAACGGCCAGATCAGGACCAATAATATTGCAGATTCTACTTTGGATCATACCATAAAGATCAAGATAAATAGATCAAGATTCTAAGCATGGACAAATGTTAGGCAAAGATTTGAAGTTAGATTCGAAAAGAAAAATCGTTTCTTCCAACATAGTTGAGATGTTGAGTCTTTCCCCGTGCGTGTATTGAAATAAGAACAAACACATACGTAGGGAAAAATACCGCTATATCTGAAGAGGTATTTACAACAGAGAGATTAGTAGTCAAATGAACGCAGGTTAGTCAGTAACAATCAGAAAGAGTATAAAGTCCAAATGTATCTTCCGGTAGAGAGACGGAAGTGTGATGGTCACCTGATCTTCCCAGAACTCTATAGAACTGCCCTATTAGTAGTAGAGAGATCAGTCCATTCTGATGAGAAGGTGGGTGGTCCCAACAATAGTAAACCGATTTTCTTAGCAGCTGACCTAACAATGGATTCAATAGAGTCTTTCTACTTCATATCAGCTGAGAACGTTAGCCAGAGAAAGCGCAATGAGTCACTTTCTTGGTGGATAGCATCAGCCATACTGATGGAAGGAGGCAAGAGGTCTCTTAGGTGATTAATGGAGAGAATTTTATTTCGGCGTTAAAAGAAATATTTTGCCCCAGTTAACTACGGACATGAGGTCATTTTGGGTATCGGCTGCCATTTTGACCTTGTCATACTGATAAGTCTTATTATCGAGACAGGAGTGAATTGTTGTGTCGTCAGCGTTGATACCGAGTTGAGAGCTGATATAATCAGGAAGGTCACTAATGAAAATTAAAAATAGAGTAGAGCAAAGAATCGAGTCCTGGAGGGCACCTGCGTCAGTACGAAAGGATCTAGACGAGTGGCCGTTCAGGATAACCTTCATTTCACAATTTGACAAGAAAGACTGGATCAGTTCCAAAAGGTGTCAGGAGACACCGTAACTTTTTAGCTTGTGGAGAAGACCTGAATGTAAGACCCTGTCGAAGGCTTTCGAGATGTCTAATGCACAGCCAGGGCATCACCATTTTTATTTAGAGCATGATAAAATCTTCCCGCAAATAATATTCGCAAAGAAAATATTTGCAATAATATTTTTTAAAACATTAGCGGTATATATATATATATATATATATATATATATATATATATATATATATATATATGAATAAAAATACAGAAAAAACAAACAAAATCTTAATATGCAATTATGCTGTATTAATGTTAATATAAAGTCGACGTTGGACGTTTCGGTCTATTTAAGACCATCTTCAGGACATTTTCATTTAAACATAATTAACATTAGAACATATAAAAATTTAACACAAAAGACGATGGACATAAGAGCAATAACTAATCCAAACAGATAACTGAAATTTTTATATAAGATCAGCGTTCCGTTTAAATATGATCACGTCGTCGTCACGTGGGCGATGTTGTGAAAACGTATTCGAAGATGATTTCCAAATATTAAAATATTAAAAAAGTCGATTGAACTATTTTATATAAACAGTTCAAGAAATTCCTTCCGTTGATATAGGAATACGCAGAGATCAATAGGTTCTTATATCTTCATACAAGCTTGAAGTCCTCCACGTTACAAAGCAAATCGAAAATGATTTCAAAAACGATGGAACAATTTTAAAAAAGAGTTCGATAATTAAGGAAAGGATTTATTATGTAGCCCTGATCTTGGGTATCCTGTCATCAGACATTCTCAAGACATGACCAGTCTACCGTAACTGAGACTGTATGAGAAAAGTCTCGATTCCTTCAATATTACACCTGTTAAACAGGTCTACGTTAGATGTCCTATCTTGAAGGTTAACTCCACAGATTGCACGCAGACAGTTTTTATGGAAAACATCTAGCTGGCGTATATGATATCTGTATGGCGTGCACGACTCTGAGCCATACAAAAGAATGGCAAGTACAACAGCTCTGTAAACCCGAATTTTCGTATCCAGCCGAATACCACGCTCATTCCACAAGCGAGGGCGAAGTTTGCCGAAAGCACTGGTAGCCTTAGCAATCCGATGTATGATTTCATCATCTAAAGTTCCACTTTAGTTGACTTTGCTACCAAGATACAAAAAAGACTTTACATAGTTCAGGGCTTTGTCTTCTACTATCAATGGTCTCTCTGGAAATTTGTAGACTGGTGGTTTTGTTTCTCACCACAGAATTGCTTCTGGAGTATGACAAGGTTGGTGCACAACTTCGGTTTTTTTTATGCTAAGTGTAAGACCAAATGCTTTATATATATATATATATATATATATATATATATATATATATATATATATATATAGTGCTGTTCGATAAAAGTAACTCCAATTTTTTATCCTTTGAATTTAGCTCAACTTTCGTTTCATCGGAGAAGAGAATATTCTTCCAGTCTTCGACGGTGAAACCCTGTAATAGTGAGCCCATTCAAGCCTCTTGGCTTTGTTGGCTTTGCTTATTAGCGGCTTAAACCTTCGTGTACAAGATTTGTAGCCTTGTTCTGATGGACTGTTGAAGAGGCCAGACTAACACCTTGCTCTTCGCTTAGACTGGCTACAATTTCTTGGCTAGTTATAGTCCTATTCTTCGCAACTTCTCTCTTGATTACCCTGCCAGTTCTATCATCCATGTTTTTTTTCATCCCCTTGTTTCCTTCCTTGGAACAGGAGTGGCATCATTATGTGCCCTTAGCACTCGAGAGACAGTTGATTGCGAGGTTATAGCAATTTCTGCGATTTCTCTCGTAGATTTGCCTGCTTTTGAGAGGGCAATAATAGATGCCTTAAGTGGTTCTGATGTGTGTTTGTACCCTTTCATCTGGTTAGTGACTTGAGTGGCTATTTCATGTTGTTTTTCTACTTTATGAGGCTTTCTGTAATATTCTGGAATACTCTAGATTTAGTTTAAGCTGTTCTAGAATTCTCTAGAATATTGTTCTGAGTGTATTGTAAAATAGTTTTCAATATTTTGTCAAAGCTCTTTAAATTTACCAGTTTAATCATTAGAATGCGATATCTGAGTCACTTTTTTTTGCACAGAGTTTTTTCCTGAATCTAATTTATATCCAAATTTACAATTATTAATAGGATACCTTAGGGTGAATAAACTTTTTTCCTAGGTGGTCGGGAAGGGGTCTTTATATTAGTAAGATTAAAAATTATTTTAACCCCAAAAACAATAGACAAAAAATATTTTTAGTAAAAAAAATCAGGTGAGTTACTTTTATCGAACAGCACTGTATATGAGAGAGAGAGAGAGAGAGAGAGAGAGAGAGAGACCAGATAGAGTATAATTTCACTGTTCGTAGCATTTACTTTTAAGTGCTCAATACAAAGTAGAGCAATATATTATTATTATTATTATTATTATTATTATTATTATTACTAGTGATTATAATAAAAAATTGAAATTGCCTCCATGCTTCAGTACTCTGATTGTACTTCTTCAGGCGATGGTAAGTAAAGGGTGATTAAATGATTTTTAAGGAAATTTAAAAACAAATTTTTACCTCTTTTCCGAAAGTTAAAGTGGGGGGACATAAGGTCAAAATTAAAAATAAACTTGTGCATATGTCTTGATTAACCAATTAAATGCCAGATTTACGCTAAATAGAAAATTATGCTCAGAAGGCAGATGTTACTTTTTCATGTCACGATAAACCAGAACATAGACAGGACATCATTGACGATTGCGGAAAATATTTTACGCTATCATCAATGATGGCCTATGTTCCAGTTTATCGTGACATGAAAAAATAACTCACCCTCCTCCACCCTCTGAGTTTAATTTTCTATTTAGCGTAAATCTGACATTTAATTGGTCAATCAAGACTCAACTCCATCGCCTGAAGAAGTGCAATCGTGATATTGAAACATGAAAGCGTGTAGTGATTTCCACATGTTTTATTATAATCTCTTATTATATATATATATATATATATATATATATATATATATATATATATATATATATAAAGAAAGAACAGTAAGATATAAAATCCGGTGTTCTTATAGATATTTTATTTTTACAAAATAGTGCTCAATGTAAATTTACAGAGCATTAATAAAATTCGCTTGAAGATGAAATGGAACTAATGCTTTTAATTTAATTGCAAAATTAAATTCGGGGTTTTTACTTCTATTTTTGAAACATGGTTGGAACGTTGTGTTTATGTAAAAAACATATTTTAAATCAATTAATTTATAATATATATATATATATATATATATATATATATAATATTAGTAAATACACACATATATATGTAAAATATATAAATATATATACATACATGCATATACATTTGACTCCTCTCTCTAAAACTTCTCTCTATTAAATTTTAATCCCCACCTTCTCTCATCTGTTACCTTTCTTTGCTTTTGACATTCGTCCCACACTCTCATACTCATCTCTCTAAATTTTATTTTTATTTCGGAGTTGTTTTTCTGTTTTTCTTTTTTGAATTTGTAGGTCTGATGAATTGGATCGTATTTACGATTCCAATGAAATAAATGACGACCATGGAATATTAGTGTTTAAGCCTTTTTTATATATATATATATATATATATATATATATATATATATATATATATATATATATATATCCTATTTTTATTCTTTATTTTATATTATATATATATATATATATATATATATATATATATATATATATATATATATATATATATATCCCTGGTTTTAT